TATATATATATGTATATATATATATTTGGCTTGGCACATAGTACGTTAGTTAGTAAGAAAGAATGGTTACTGGAGAAGCAACAAGCAGTCCACCCTTGTAGCTACATGACATGATGACATGAATATACATCCTTCTTCCCATGTACAGAATATATCCATTTACCACCTGACCTCTAAGGTCTCATCCAGATTCAAATCAAGGATCTCTGGCTGATGTACTAGCCTTTCCATTAGGTCCAGCTGTGGCTCACATGGTAGATACCTATTAGACCATAATAAACAGGATAGAGCAATAAAAACCTGGAATGGGAAACACATGGCAGTCGCTATTCCACAGCAAATCCTAAATCCTGATGGACAGGAAGAGCAAGGTCTCCTTGCTTTTGGCAATGCAATAAATTACCTAGTCAGCCAATCTGGCAGCACCCAATTCTGTTTTCTGGGAGACTCAAAGACTCTCCCTTGTCCACTGTCCTTCGAGGCTCCTGATTTTGTCTTCTGGAGGATCCTCCTTGTCTGGATGTGGGGATATTGGTAAAGATGCCCTCCTTTGAGGCTCTGAAGCTTTCAAAGGTGTGGGGGTTTCTTGGCAATACAATTCATTCAAACTATAAGCTCCAAATCTGCTTACCCCCCAACCCCGTCTTTTCCATGTGTTAGTAGCCATAGGCAAACATCTTGACATAGTTTTTAAGCATGAAGATTTTCCTCCTTCAGTGATGGCCCAGCCCCCAACCCTCAGCTTAATGGACACTTAAAGTAATGAAAAACAGTGAGTAAATGCATCCTATATCTGATCTTTGTTTGGCAAATGAGAAGGCCTGGGGTACTGATCTTATTTAATGTTAGAGCTTAGAAGTCCCTTTCTTATTTTGGCTTTAGTTTTAGTGGAAGGGAGCAATTGGCATTTTCAAACCTGCAAAGTTCTGAATTATAGGACTCTCAACCAAGTAGATTTCTGAATGTAGACAGAAGTGCCGCTCAGCAAAGCAGTACTTCCATCTTTGCTTTGCAGACCAACTAGCTTAATCTGCATTCATCCTCTTTTTCAAAATTTTGCTGAAAGCACCCATTGACATTCTGGTTATTTCTCCTATTGCTATAGCCTCAGCCGGTACTTGGTATGTGTTTCAAGAAACAGTAGGAGACATTGGACCTTATATTTCACCACTACATACCAAAAGCCATTAGCTTAAAGCCTGTAATGGTCAAGTCCATGATCATCATACCCGCCACCCCAATCTCTGCCTTTGATTCAACTAAATTCACCTTGTATTTTGTGTAATTTTTAGTACCTCACTTCTGGTAACAAATTCTGTTGTCCTTAGTTACAAATAACAGAAGCTGACTCTTGCTGATTAGGTAGAAAAGGCATACATTAGTAGGTTATTGGTCTAACTCATGGAATTGTTGTGAGGGCTTAAGAATTAGGAAGGCTTGCAGCTAAGCTTCCAGGAACACTATCCAAAGACATATCACAGAACTAGTCTAATGATGCAAACTGCTGCTGCCTATGGGGCACTAGAAGAAAGTGCCACCATTTTCACCCCCATTGTGCACAAGATGTTACATACACTTCAGATGCTCCTTACTACACCTGCTCCTGCCACTGCACCAATGCCATTCTGGATCAATAACTCTGCAACCACTGATGCTATTCTTGCCAGCGAAACAAATTCTGTGCCAAGCCTCTTTTCTCAACTTCATTTCTAGATATGGGTGAGTGTGCTCCTATGTCAAATGTCTGTGCCTGAGCTGCACAGGAAACTGAGAAACTGAATCTTCTAAGTTCTATTTCGGGGATTTAGAACTCATTCCTGAAATGAAACAAGGACATTTAAAGAGTGGTAAATAACCAGAAAACCTGTCAAATTTCACTACTGCATCCCTTTACACAACTTACTTTATTAGGCAATCTTTGGAATCAAAGGCACTCTTTAATTGAATTTTTCTGTATTTAATTGCTAAAATTTGAATTAGGCCAAACATATTACAGGTATCTTTACATGCAGGATACTATTTTCACAGTAATTTTGTTTTACAAGATTATAAAACCTCTAACTCTGCTCTATATATTAGATATCAAAGTACCATAACAGCGTTAGTTTATTGAAGTTGCCACATCATGATAAAGAATTACAGTAAGATGAGGTTTATTTCCTATACTATAGGCCCCTAAAAAACTTTACCTACTATGGCCATATTAAATGTATCATTAAAAAGTAATTTCTTAAAATAAAAAGACTTAAACTCAATTATGGCCCCAAATCAAAATTTAGGTCAAGATTAAACATAAATAAATAAAAATAAAAGAGGAAATACTTCCAAACTCATTTTACAAGGCCAGCATAACCCTCACTCCAAAACCAGACAAGTACCCTACCAAAAAAGAAAATTACAGGCTAATATCCCTGATGAACATAGACATAAAAATCTTCCACAAAACATTAGCAAACCAAATTTAACAATACATTAAAAAAATCGTATACCATGAGCAAGTAGAATTTATTCCAAGGATGCAAGGACAATTCACATTTACAAATCAGTCAGTGTGATACACCACATTCACAAAATGAAGGATAAAAATCACAGAATCAAATAAATGCAGAAAAAGCATCTGACAAAATTCAAATCCACTCATGATAAAA